GTACTCTTTTGAATTGGATCAAAGCCTAACGTACCTATTACGTTCGGGAGTTATCGTATATACTCAAACAATGCAGTCACAACTTTGACAATATGCACAAACAAATCTTTATTCGTTCGGAACCGTCGGCGGAAATAATATCATTGAAAGAGAGTATGCTCGTCAAAATAATCATACAAGAGACATTGGTGGGTTGATGCACGTTGTCTTTGGATATATCTTCTTCTTTTACGTTACGCAATGCTCGCTTCATGGTTGTTAACATGTTGTTCTAGCCTACTACATATGGAGATAATTGACTGTATTACGCCATCAGAGGCATCGTTTGATGAAGATGACAATGATGATGAAGACGAGGTTGAGGATGAAGACGAAAACGGGATTTTTTAAAAACTGATGGAATGGTTTGGGAGAGAGACGTATTGTGATGTGTGTGTGTGTTCAAATAAGAGAGGGGAATGGTTATATATATATATATAATATATATATATATATATATATATATATATATATTGGTTGGGTTAAAATTTGGAATTTTGATTTTTTTTATAAAAATAGGGTATTTTTTATTAAAAAAGAAAGAGTTTAAAAATAAATTGGTTAGAAGGTTTATTGTGGTCAAAAGTTCCAACAGTCAGTCAAATCAAATCCTCCCTCTTTCCCTCCTCGCATTAGCATGCTTAACAAGTTCCGTTTGTAGGGCGAATCATGATTATATAATCAATAATCGAATGGCGATAAAACCAAACTTTTAGTGGCCAAATTGTAACAATTTCAGGAGTTTAACGTCTTAATAAACATTTTACATATTTAGTAACTAAATGGTGACATTTATATAACTTGGATGGTTATTTAAGTCAAAAATTCTAAATAAACACGGATTAGGTAAAAATCACATTGAATAATACATAAAAAAGAAAAGATATCTTCTTATGGACCATGAACTTTCCCATTAGGATATAATAAGTGAGTTACAAAGTCCTTGATCAAATAATGCACAATGTCAACGTCACCTCAACTTAACAACATCCTTACTAATACTTACACATAATATGAAATACACATCACTCACATTAGGTTTTTTATCCCAACAACCCAAGGTCAATGGTCAAAACCTTCTCTCTCTTGTAACCTTTTGTAGGCAAAGTCACTAGAGGTTACACCTTCACATGGCAGGGGTCGTGTCCGTCCCCCCCCCCCCCCCCCCCCCCCCAAAAAAAAAAAAAAAAAAAAAAAAAACTCACATGTGACTTAGCCTTCCAAGTCAGCACATGCATAATGGAAGCAACCATTCCATTTTACCTTATAGTTTAGACTATTGGTTTTTGATGTACAAAAAGGCTTACTTTAAAAACCAAACTAATAGGACATCAACATACAACTATTATAACATTATTTACCAATTACCATCAACTAAGTACGTCCACCCAAACATTATCCCTACGATCAGCTGTGTTGAAGGATATATGAGTAGGGTGATGGTGGATAACCGAATTATTGATGGGTCGTGTAAGTTTACTTTTTGAACTGATATTTTCACCCTATGTTTGGGTTACAGGAATCCAGTCTACGATAATCCAAAAGGACACTTGTGTATCTAGGCACATAAACACAAACCACATCACCAGAGAATTTTGTTTTCGTTTAGATGAAGAAAATCTAAGAAAAATGTTTTGTCTATATGACTCAAAGGAATAGTCATATATATATATGACATATTAGGGTTTAATCTTCTAAATTAGTTGGGAGAACCACCGCCAGGGGCTCTACCCCTTGGACCCCGCTAGGGGCACTGCCTCTAGGACCCTGCAAGGGGTGCGGCCCCCTTGACCCCCGTCCTTCTGTTGTATCGGCTTATAATTCAATCTTATATATGCATAAATTCCTCATTCCCCAAACATATAATATAGAGTACAAACAATAATCCCTTAGCTCACATGTCAGTTCTAATACCACAAAATGTCACGTGACACTAAAATCACCAATAGAGTGCCATTACGAAATAACTTTAAAACCTCACAATTTGTAAGTTGAACCCCAGTTACCCCCTCACATCCAGATCTTGAGAACAATGGAAAGAACAATACAACAGGAAGCCCAACTTAGGATAAACACCACTATCTAAGCCCATTTCAGTTTATCCTTAACTGTCTTCACTTATGCGTTCAACTTCAAAACCTCCGACTCATGATTCACATACTCCTTAATCCTCAGTGTCTCATTTAAGGGTTATTCGATAGCCTCTAAATTGAGAAATTAAGAGGCAACATATTAATATTTCAGACTTAGAGCGTTTGGTAGCCTATGAATAACAGGATCGTAATGTCTTAAAATCCTGTTAAACTTTTAGAACTAAACTTATATCTTAATAAAAAAAAATATGTGTCCTTCCTTGTTTTGCCCTCATATGAACGCTTCCATAACCCACCTTCACTACGCATCTCATGTCTCCTCCCACCTCCGACCAACTCCAACGCTGACCACCTCCTCCCATCACTGAACACCTCATCCCATCGTCGTCCACCTTTTCCCATTATCGACTTGTACAACACCACCACCCGTTGTAAACCTAGCACATGTACAAGTTTCACACGACTTATGATATCACTCCCACCTCCATGAAATCCACTCCCATAGTCGAACTACGACCTCCGACGCCAAGCTCGAACATCGCTAGTTCCACCCTTGAAAGTGTTGCCATCTCCAGGTTCTGCCCTCGACAATGTCGGTCTCCACCAGGCGATCTTTGATCTTCTTCGTTAGTCAGGTACAATGTTGCTAAAATCACTCCATATACGTGAATCAAATTTTTTTCATGATGTGAAATCGAAAATCGATTTTATATTCTGAGTTTTTAAGTGTTCGTATTTTAGGTTTTATGTGATGTTTTGAATCGATGGTGAAACATAGCTTCATTGAAAAATTAGTTATTGATTTATAGTGTCCTAATATAATAATGATTGTTATTATCATAAACTGATGTGTAGGGGTGTTCGTTTAGATGGATCGGTTTGATCCGATTCAATCAAGTAAATCCAAATTGATTTCGGTTTTCAAAACATGGATCTGAATTGTCCAAACTAAATTCAAATCCAATCCAATCCGATCCAATTACAATTCGGTTGGATCGTTTTTATAATTCGGTTTTCAAAAACCGAAACATTTTAAAACGACATATAATTATAATATTACCCAACTTTACACAAGAAGCAAAAACAAATCATTTAGTTGTGATTTGAAATTTATAAACAACTAATAAGAAGATATATTATAGTTAAATATTTTATAGATACAAAACTTTTGAGAGAAAATGAATATTAATTTTTTTTTATTGAGTGAAACGTTTTGAACCTATTTGAAAAAATAAATTACAAAATTAATAAATAATTATATATATATATATATATATATATATATATATATATATATATATATATATATATATATATATTATAAATAGATAAATAAGACATGTTTATTCGGTTTTTTTGGACTATTCGGTTCTTATTTTATAAACCAAAACCAATCCGAAATCCAAAATACTAATTCGGTTTTGTTGAAAACCAATCCAAAAATCCGAATATCCGAACCAAATAGTCCAATCCAAATTGTCCAATTGGATAATTCGGTTTTATCCGAATAGTGAACAGCCCTACTGATGTGTAGTTTCCAAATTGGTTATTGATTTAGAGCATTGTGTGATTTTGATGGTCAAGATGTGGTTGATGAAGGTTGTGATTTTTTTTGTCAAAATTGTTCCTTTTCTATCTCTCATTTGAGCAATTGGAACTTTAGCCATTGATCTTTTACCTTGAGCAATTGGAACTTTGGATGAAACTATTGTTAAATGTTCCTTTTCTGTCTCTTCTAAAACGATATATAAGATTGTATTTGAATGAAACTAATGTTAAATGTTCCGTGTTTATGCAGTGGGATATTGTTGGACAAGAAAGGTTCAAGACAATCACTAGTAACTAACCACATATCATTAATTTGGAATACAAAAAATGAATGGAATAGTTTCAATTTTGTAATTTATTCAAAGTTTTTCTTTATGTTCTCTTAGAAAAGGGTATTATACTTGTCAATATGTGTAAATGAATGAGTTATATACATGTAATGTGATCCATATAAGTAGGGTTGTTCATGGGTCGGTTTGGGTCGGTTTTGGACCCCAACCCAACCCAAACCGTAAATGATCGGTTTCTGGTTTTCAGAACCCAATAGGATCGGCTTCTGGTCGGTTCAGTTTCTCGGTTTCAGACATTGGTTTGGGCGGTTTCTCGGTTTCTTGGGTTCAACCCATACACTTACGATTTCTGGGTTTAAACCCATGGGTTTTAGGTTTGAACCCATTTTCCAGAAATGGAACAATTAGTTAAATAATTCAAAAAACACCTAATTGAAGTTAAATACTTCAAAAAACATGAGTTTTACAACCAAATTCTCTATAACAACCAAACACACAATCAAACTAAAACACAAAGTCCGAAATTGTCGATTAGACGATTACAACCAAACACACAATCAAACTAAAACATAAAGTCTGGAATAGTCAAATGGTCGATTACAACCAAAAGTCCAAAACACACAAACACAAATCTTCAATCCACATCCATGTAAATCTCTTCACCAATTCCCCATTCATCTACAAACCAAAAACATTAGTATTGATCAATGATTATTGAGTAATAAACTTGTGTAAAAGTATAAAATTATAATAATTGAGTTATAAACCTTTAAAATTCAAGTAAAATACTCATCCATGCAACTCCTTTGACCACACCCAATTCCTCTACAACACACAAAAGTATAAAACAATAGTATGTAATTAATTAATTAATCATAAAAATATATAATTACAAACTTATAATTATGTAAAAAATAGTAAAATATTTACCGGCTTCTATTAGCACCAACTTCTCTCGCGTCATTGTTGAACAATATGGGCATTTCACTTTCTTAGCACCCTTCTTTGTGGCATCTCGATCAAAATGTTGTCATACCCACGATACTCTATGACCACCACACTTATTATCTGCAACTTCTTCATCATCTCCTTCATCAACATCATGATCAACATCAACAGTTTGTGGAGCATCAACATCAACAGTTTGTGCATTTAGTTGAGACTTTTCCATCTACAAAAAAAAAAAAAAAAAAAAAAAAAATCAACAATCCATATGTAAATCAAAAGATTTCAGGAAATAAGAAGCTTCAATTCAGCAAGATTTAACCAATATTTATCAACATTTCACAACAATATTTGTCAACATTTCACAACAAGATTTAAGCAATATTTCACCGCAAGATTTATCAACATTTCACAGCAATATTTATCAACATTTCACAGCAAGATTTCAGGAAAAATCTAACAAAAACCCTTGATTATTTTGATAGCAAGTAAACATAATAAGAGTAATAAGATTTCAGCAAGATTTCCAGAATTCTTAAATGCTTGGAACGAGGTCACGAACCTAAATCAGAAGAAGAAAAAAAAAACGAAATCAGAGGCAAATCGACAAAAAAGAAATAGAAATCAGAGACACATTGGCACATTCAAAATGAACACAACATTCATAACATAAACACACAGAAATCAGAAGGAAAAAAAAAAACAAAATTAGCGACACATTGACACATTCTGCATGAACAAATTTAAAACCCACATCGTCGTTTTGATTTGGTTTCATTTTTTTCGATTTCAGTTTCGTCGGTTTTTGTCAGTTTCTCGGTTTCTTGGCTCAGGTTTGCTCACCCCTACATATAGGCATAGAACTCAAGTTTTTTTTCATAACTATTGTAAGATTGTTTTTGTAAGAGTTAAATACAAAAAATAACAATGGACTTTTATTAATTTATTTATTATAGAATCATATTTTTACCTCTTTGTATTAGATCATTATTTGATTTATCTTGTCAAATATTTATGTTTGATTTGATTTTTTTTAATTTAGATCTTGTATTGTGTTTATACTTTCGTTATAATTATTCAAAAAGTTGGTTTGATTATTTTATAAACATAAACATTGAATTCAACAAAAAAAATAACAATGAATAGTAAAATTGTTATTTTATAATTCAGCACAGAAATTCAAAAACTCCAACCAAAGCACGGTAAAAATTCAAAATTTAAAATTTTACACCCTCTTAAAAATTCAAATTCAACAAAACAATCATTTAGTTTATAAGCTATACTTCATAAACCCAAATTCTTCCGTGGTATTAAATAGGGATGGGCATTTAAACCGGGGAACCGGAACCGGAACACGATGAGATCGGGACCGGGACGATATTCTTGTAGATTTTTTAAACCGGCACTGGTAGAACCGGAACCTGTAGGACCGGCAAAAACCTAAACCGATTGTTCTTATTTCTCAAGGACCGGTCCCAACATTGAATACACGGCAAGAACCGACGATCCGGTTCGGTTCCTAGTTTCAACCAAGTTTGGTTCCCTAGCCGGGTCGGATCCAATGATCATCCCTGGTATTAGAGGGTGTTAGAAAAATCTTTTAACATGACTTTTAGAAATTTTAGTTTTTCCAAAAAACTAAAAGTTTAAAAAAAAATTTGGGCATTTCAATGAGTTCTTTTAACATATCTTTTTGGCAAGAACAAAAACAAATTTTTGAAAAGTAATGAATTTGTAAAATTTTGAATCTTTTGGGTTTTTATATTTTGAAAAGTCAAAAGATAAAACCCAAAAAAAAAAAACTTTTAGCATGAAAATAAATCCCAAACACCCCCTTAATCTCATACTTAAGCTTCCTTAACATCTCTAGTAGAGTTCATAGAATAACGATTCATCAACATATTCAAAGTACAAAAAATGCTATCCAGAGAAATATAACAAATGGTGAAATTAGGGCTTTCACGTATGAACTAAACAAAAAGAAATCTATGCATTAAAAGTGTTTTTGACCAAAGTTTGACCAAGATCGTCGTAGCTGAGAACACACCGATTCTAAAAGACTTTATGTGACACAAATTATCAGTTTTACGATGTAGCCACTTAGTAATCATACAAATCTACAGAATATAAAATGCCATTTAAGGAATCACCAAACACGTAAATGTTTATGAAACTATGAACAGATAAATTCAGCAAAAGTCGTTTCATTTTTACTAGAAAACAGAAACAAATGAGATACTAATTCAAGGTATTCATATTCCTATTCAATCTAAACATTAGAACCTAGAATTCCTGAGAAACAGATCCAATCACGTCCTTGCCTTTTGCCTTTTTGTTTGGCAGCAGATTTGAATGAATATTCGGCAACACTCCTCCATTGGCAATCGTCACTCTTCCCAACAACTTGCTCAACTCCTCATCGTTCCTCACAGCTAATTGAATGTGCCTGGGTATGATCCGGGTCTTCTTGTTATCCCTCGCTGCATTCCCAGCTAGCTCCAAAACCTAAATCACAATAGCATTTATATCAGATGATTAATAGAATGAAGCTTATGTAGAGATCGAAACGGATCTACAAGACGGAGTTGTGTGTACCTCGGCTGCTAAGTATTCAAGGACGGCGGACAGGTAAACAGGGCTACCGGAGCCGACGCGTTTCGCATACCTGCCGTTTTTTAGGTACCTTGAAACTCTACCGACGGGGAACTGAAGACCAGCTTTTGAAGATCTGGAGACGGATTTCGTGGATTTAGGTTTGCCTCTTCCACCGGCGGATTTTTTTGCTTTTCCTGATTCCATTTCTGGTTGGTAAAGGAGGTTTGAGAGGGTTTAATAATTTGTATTTTAACTGATGGGAGATGAATTTGAAATGATACATGGAACGTGGTTTTATAGTGGGGCTTCTGGAGGGGAAATGGGAAAACAAGCCTCTCATTGGTTCGCTAGGGGTTTAAAGGATTGCCAGCGTGACATCTCTTGCTCATTGGTTGTTGTTTGTTAACTTGGATTGCCAACGTGGAAGACCCACCAAAGTTTTGGCCAAGTACACGGCGGTCAACTAATCAAGGAGACTCAAGCCTCGGAGATTTTTAAGAGAATAATTTCTTTTTAGAAAAATTAAAAAAATAGCCATTATTTCTTTATAACTTTATAAAAAATAGCTAACAATTGGCAATTATTATCACTAAGCTAGGCAAGTTGATAATTATTTTCTGCTTATAGTCGTTCCGATGTATCCAACTTTGCATCACAACGTCACAAATCGGTATTTTACGATTTAATCGATTCGCAAGTCTTCTTTATAAAAAATAGTTAACAATTGGCCTAATAAACCATAATGGCCCAATGAAGCTTAATGGGCTTAAAAACACAAATAGATGACTAATGGGCTCAGTGAAATCATAAGGAACCTAATGAACCCTAATTGGTCAAAGGACCTAGCTATTAGGTCTATTGGGCTAAGATGTGTTGGAAACCCTAATTAGGGTTTGGAAAACCATAATGTCATAAAGCCCTAATTTGGGACTTATTGGGCCGCATCAAAATCATTTAATGAACTTAAAATATTAATTAATAATCATTGCAAATTAACCTAAGTCAATATTGGACTTAATGGATTAAGTCCTTACTGGGTTAAGTAGGAAAACTTAACTCTAATTTCACTTTGGTTTATTGTTGGGCCTTTCTATTGGGCCTTGATGATTGGGTAATTAATAGGCCATCCAAAATCAAGCATATGGACTATAATAATTTAATGGGCCTTAGGGTAAGGCCGTGTAAGGGGTTTGGGCCCAATTTGAAAATTTATGCCATATGTGGGCCATAGTTTGGGCCTTTATGATTATGTGAAGTGTAACACCCGTAGATCCGGACTATTCAATTTAGAGACGATAAGCATCAAAAATGACTTTTTGATGGAAGATTATTTAGAAGGGGTAATCTTAATTAAGTTGTAGTATACGTTACAAGGATTCCGTACATATAAAGAATGCCGAAATCCGAGTTATAACGAAAAAGTTATGATTTGTCAAAGTTTCGCGACAGAACCGGTACGACACAGCGCGATGTAAATAATGAATTTACGTTAGAGCAATATTTGGCCTTAGTGAGATCGTGCATAAAAAGAACGTCTAAATCTGACTTCGTATGAGGAAGTAATAACAAATCGGTCTTTTCTGATTGTGAAATTGGGGATGTCACATATTGGGCCATTAGAATGTTGAATGTTGGATTGTACTAAATGGTTGGGCCCTATGATAAGACCTTATAAAGGTTTGGGCCCAATCTGGAAAACTGGGTCATGTGTTGGGCTTTGACTCATAGTTGACTTTTGGGCCTTTGGATTGGGCATTGGGCTCGAATAAAGCTAAGTTAGGGGTAAAGTAGTATTTACCCCAAGCATGTATTTATGGTTAAGAGTTGGAACCCATTTATTAATTGGGTGTTATTTTGATGTTGACAGTTCGAGAACCTGTCATCCAGCAGCTGGGATTGTGTCTTCACGATTTCAGTAGTGTGAGGTGAGTTACCTTCTAGTAGTGGTGGGTCTACGGCCACAATGTCGGCCCACCAGTAGGAGTGTATGTTAGATAATTGTCTTTGTGATAATTATATGTGTTTACTGCTACTTGATATATTTATGTGTTAGCATGTTATGATGTTATGTGATCGTAGCAGTAGGGGGAGATAGTCCCCAAGTTACCGGTCGATAGGGGCGAAGGGGTAGATTAGTACCCAGCCATGCTAGACAGATTATGATATATGTGATATGATATTATGTGGTAGTAGTAGGGGTGAAATAGTCCCCAGTTACCGGTCGACAGGACCGAAGGGGTAGGCCAACACCCAGATATGCTAGGTAGTATGTAATTTATGTGTTTATGATATGCTTTTATGTGGTAGTGGTAGAGGTGAAATAGTCTCCGGTTACCGTTTGAAAGATACCGAAGGGAAGGCAAGCTCCCGGTTACTGATTGAAAGATACCGAAGGGGTAGGTCGGGCACCCAGATAAGCCTGAAATGGGGTAGGTCGGGCACCCCGGTATGCCTGACAGTAGGATGGGTTGAGCACATCGGTATGCTCAGCACGGTAGGTTGGGCACCCAAAATATGTCTAGCAATATGTGATTGTATGGTATGTGGTATGATCGGGAACTCACTAAGCTTCGTGCTTACGATTTATAGTTTTGGTTTCAGGTACTCGTTTTCAAAGGAAATGAGTTGGCTCGATCGTGGCACATCACACTATGGTTTTTCCCATATGAGATCTTTGGGATTACGCTATGATATTGTGTTATGATAACATGTTTTGATTATTTCTACTTTGGTTTTCACATGACATGATATTATGGATATTTTATTATACTGTTGGTTTTATAACAACTTATCTAAAAATATAAATTTTGGCCTTGAATTTTGGGATGTTACACTTGGCTTTTCATTACTTAGATCTTCACTCAGGGTTGTATTTTGTTACTTTTGGACCATATTAAAGCCATTTCCGAGATTTGAGTGTATCTTGAGGTTTTGACTTCAGATCTAGACACTCATGAGCTTATGATGCTTAAAGTTGCAGATTTATCAAGCATTAGATCTTCCCCATGCCCTATATCTCTTGCATAGCTTAGTTTAGGGTTTCTAGCCTCATAACACCATGCATGGACGTAAAGTTAGCAACTTTACGTGGTAACTTGGTCCTAGGGGACCAAGTCTATGCTTTGGAAGCATTGAACTAGACTGGAAACGGCTGAATGAGTTTAGACTATGGGGGACTTGACGAGTTGTTCATGCAACTTGGCTTTGACTTTGACCAGATGATTGACTTTGACCAGGGTGTGGACCTTGACCAAAGGTTGACTTTGAACATGGTGTTCACCTCGACTTTGACTTTGACCAAAGTTGACCCTTAAAGGGGTATGAGCATGAAAGGGTAACTAAAGGAGATTTTATATGTAAGAGTTTTAGAGGAGCAAATTTCAGAGCCGCGAACAATTCAACTACTTCAAGTATTTAAGATGAGTTACGTTCCAGTAGAAGTGGGTCAAAGGCACCAATGTCGGCCCACTAGTAAGAGTATAGTAGAGATTATTGTCTTTGTGATAATTATCTGGTATGCCACTATCTGTTATGTTTTATGTGGTAGTCCCCGGATCCAGTTGAGATAAAATGGTAGGGTAGGTCGGGCACCCAGACATGCCTGACAAGTATGGTTTGCTATGTTATTATGTGGTAGTGTAAGGGGTGAAATAGTCCCCAAAGCCGGTTGAAATAAACCGGAGGGTAGGTCGGGCACCCAGATATGTCTGGCAGGGTAGGTCGAGCACCTAGATATGCTTGAAAGGGGTAGGTCGGGTACCCATGCACACCTAAAAAGGGTAAGTTGAGCACCCAGATATGTCTGACAATATGTTTATTGTATGGTATGTGGTATGATGGGGAAAATCACTAAGCTTTGTGCTTACAGTTTTCAATTTTGGTTTCAGGTGCTTTCTCTTTGAAGGGTGTCACAACTAGAAATTTTATGTCTTGTAATCACTATACTCAAGTAAATGTTGAATTCAAAAACTCAAGAGCATGTATGATGCTTACTCAATGGAAAACTAAACCCCAATTCACTACATCAAGCAATTGGAAAACCCTAGAAGTTCTTGATTAGGTCCATTTTGGGACTAGGACTTCCTTATTGGACCTAAATGGACCAATAAGCTTCCAATTTGACTATTATGGGCTTATAACCCTTAAATGGGCTCTAATTGGACCCACATCTATTTATTTCAACGTTTTGGGCCATATTGGGCCTAGAATGAAATAAATTCAAAAATTTGAACCATGATTAACCTAAACTAGCCCAACAAAGTGTAAAAATCATATTATATTTTTTTTTTAGGTTAAAACTCATCCAACTTAATATACACATGGGCTTGTGGGCATTAAAGCCCAAATTTTCCCTTTTACCCTCCAAATTCTCGGCCCAAGGCCCAAGCTCAAGAAGAAATGAAGAGGGTTGACTTGTAAGTGACACCTCCTTATTATCTTTTGGATCTCCATGTAATCCATTCCATGTATCCATGCACATCACTTCATGTCTATTTCTCCCTCTCTCTTCTTGTTTCGGCCGTGAGCATCACACACACACACACAAACCTCACACAAACTCTCTCTAGATCACTCAAGACTTCTCTCTTCCTCTCCATCTAAAATCTCGAAATTTGCTTGTGATTCAAGTGGATTCTTCAAGATTATCATCATCCTTTGGTAAGTTTTCCATGTCTAAGCTTCAAAACTCCCCCCTCACATGAGATCTCTTAGTCTAAACAAGTTTCTTTGGTGATCATACTCCTAGAAAACTCCATAAACTCGAGATCTTCATCAAGGGGTGCTAGGGCCGAAAAATCACTTCATTTCTTCCATCCTCTCTTCAATAACGGAATCAACACCCAAGGTGAGTTTCATACCCCCTTATTTTCGGTTTTTATAAGTTTTTGTGGGGGAGAATACAAGCAAAGGTGTAGATCCATCATTATGTGTATGTTGTGGTTGATTTCTATGCTTATATGTATGTTTTGTATGATTTTGATGCTAGATCTAGTATGAAATGCTAAAAACCGAGACATGTATTTTATTATAGCATAAAATATACTACTACATGCAAAGTATACTAAGAAAAATAGCCAAATGGCTTGACAACACTTAATTTGGGCTAAAAACTCATTTTTTTTATAAAATGTTGAAAATACAAAGTTGAAGGGCCTAAAATGAAATATTTCGAAATCTGATGGGTGAGATGAGTCAAAAAAGTTTACATAATGTATTTTCTGAAAATATACTATTTGGAGGGTTAAAAACATAAATTCCAAGCTTATTGG